TATATATATAAATATATTTACATACGTTTGGTGCGGCCGATTGCAACCAAAATACGAGGTGCACATCTACATGTTATAGCAGTCCTATATACAAAATTTCAACGTTCTGAGGCTACTCGTTTTTGAGTTATGCGAGATACGTACGTACGTACATACGTTCGTACAGACGCCACGAATAATTCTCTTCAGAATTCATTGTAAAGCAGTTTTATGATTTTTTTGGGGAAAAGAGTATTTTATTCTCTCCTTAAGTACAGATATCACGCAAAAACATCGTTATATTGCATTCGATATTGGTCAAAATGAATATTTTCGTGGAAATATGCTGCCTGAACCTTTTCGCGATTACAATACTTCCATTTTACTTCGTACAAGGAAGTAAAAAGCGGGAAGTAAATTTTATTTTCATTCAGTCTCTTGCGCAGCGCAGAAGGAAAGGTCGAATGTTCTCACGGCATGATTTCATCGAAATGGAAGACATTCCTCTTGATTTCTTTTCAAATTAATTGTGACTGCAGATAAAAGTTGGTGTCTTACTTATCCTGAGACAAAACAGCTATCATCTGAATGGACTGGAGAAGGTCCCCGCGGTTACAGAAATTTCAGTTTCAGAAAATATACAGTAATAACTATGTTGGTGTACTATTTTTTTATATCACAAGAAATAAATTTAATTATCATATAATTGATAATTCACAAGAAATATACTTTGAGGAACAGACGGTGAATTTCATATTTTATAATGAACAGACTTCCAAAGAGAATTTAGGGCTTTAGTACTGAAAATGCTCAATCAGACATCTGTTACTGAGATGCAAGTGAAAGAATGTTACTTTCTGCTTATCGCATTTTATTTTAAAAACAATTATACACTTAGAATGTAAAATACTTTTATTTCATTAAAACAAAATATAAAAAAACTCTTTCCAGCAAAATTTTTCATTATAAAACCATTTTATTCTATTATAATTCCTTATCCACTTTATTCTATTATAACTCCTTATCCTTAACATACAAACCCATTACATTGAAAGTAATTTTAACAGATGAGCTGACAGAATGTTATAATGTTTGTTTAGTCAGGTAAAAAAGGCACATGTTTTGAAGAATAATGTAAGAAGTAAACAGAGAATAGTAGGCATGAAAGCATGCATGTAGCAACTAAAGATGTAGTCAAATTTAAATGTAAGCAAAAGGTTGTTGCCACAGTGAGATGAAACACTATACCTTTTTAACTGCTTTCTAAGGAACGACAGAACAAAAAGTTTATCATATTACAAATATGATAAACTTTGTGTAAATATTATGTAAGTTTTATCCCAAGTTGTTAACAGTTATTTTTAGTTTAAGCCACTTTCCTGTCGCTCTTAATTTCAGCTTACAATTTCCTACCAGAATGTGTTTTTTTCAGAATCGCGGTTAAATGAAAATGAAGGAAGAGCAGTACTTAAAGTCGAAGTTCCACTGATTTCATTAGACAGAGCCAGAGATTCTGACTAGCGCGCGTTCTCTCTTTGGCTACACTCTCTCTAGCTATTACTACGCTCGGACGTAATTCAGGCCCTTGATAGCTTCGCCGTTTAGTTAGCGATTCAGGGGCTAACTTCCGTAGAGTTTTGATAGCTTCGGCTATATCTTTTTTGTTAAGCATTAGTTAAGTTTTATTTCTAAAAATTCTTGAGTTCAAGCCCAAGTGGAGGCTTGTATGTACGTTCAGAGAAAGGGCCATCAGTGAACTTTATTTTGAGTAATATAGGCTAATTTCCCCTTCTCAAGTTATGTTCTTAAGTTTATGTAAGTTATTGGTAAGCGATTATTCGCTTATCAATTCTCAAGGTTCTACACTAAATTCTAGGTTGGAACATTACAATCATAATGTGAAAATTACCATAAAATTTTGCGAAATGTCGTGCAACAGTAAATATTTCCTTTCTTTCTTCATTATAAAATAATATTTCTAAAATGATGTTCAATTATAAAGAATCCGTAACAATATAATAAATCGAAAACATAGTTACGACAAGTCTTATTATTATTAGCTACGATGATTCAAAAAATTCTTTTTGTCGAATTCATGATAAATTGCTTTAAATCATAAGTAACAAGAAACCTTTAACAAGAAAATAATGTTTCCAATGCGATGCAACTGTCCACAGAAGTGTACTACAAATATGTGTTCGTGCAAATCAGCTGATTGACTTTGTAATTCAAAATTCTATAACAGTCAACCCTGTTGTAACAGGTAGTAAGAAATATTAAATGTATTAAAGGAAAACATATTACATCATTCTTATTCTTTAAATTTCATAATTTTTATTAATTTTTTTCCTGGGCTATCAATTTAATTTTCTAACTATCGTCAAAATTATTTTTTTTAAATATTGAAATATTTTCACTAATTATCGAGAGAATTGTGTTTTCCGCATGAGAGCTTTGTAAAATGGCATGAATATTGCATTTTTTTTAATTTTTATTTCTTGTGACTCTTTGAAAAATAATTGTAAGACAGTTTCATCGACATAATCTTAAATCATACCTTCTTTTGATCACTTTCACAATTTTTGTTTCAATTAAAAAGTTAAAATGTATTTTAACTTTTTTTGGAACATACTGTATACAATATATCTGCGAATGGAAAATCCTATCATAAGTAATCCCTCGTTTCGGGCGTTTACCGGAAGGCGTTGGTAGCTCCTAGATTTTAACGCAAAGGCTTGCTAAAAGTTCGAAATGGAAACATATCAAAGCATACTTCGGGCTTTTACAAAGCCACTTTGGTAAAAGCTAGGTTTTACTGGTAAAACCAAGGATTTGCCAGACTTCGGGCTTTTACAGTAACAGATATATATTTTTAATCAGGAAGTAATTTTCTCTTCTTTCAATCATTTTTATGTCATGTGAAACTAACTAACTAATAAAAGACATATGCGTTAATAATTAAATCAACTTTAACCAGTCAAGAATTTTTCTGAATGTTTTTTAAAAAGGAAAAAAATTAAATTACCTTCTATTTCTTTATTTTCCTGGAAATCAACGTAAGGATTTATTAAAATGTAACAATCAGTACGTTGAGTACGAAACATGTATTTTTTATAATTAAAGAACCAGCACCAAATATGTTGCAAAAATTATGTTCTGCATATGACACCACGATGTTTGAAAGAAAATTCCATCGAGTTGAGTTAACATTCAGATCGTAAAAATCGTAAAACTTATTGCATACTTTTAACCATGAAAGTGGAGGTTTAATGGTTTGGGGATGTGTCGCTGTCTCTGGGATGGGAAATAAACTTTTTATAGAAAATAATATGGATGAACATAAATGTATAAATATTCTTAATGAAAACCTGAAAACATGATAAATGAAAACTTGGAATGCAAAATACAAAGTCTATCATAATAATGATCCCAAATATGTAGCTCTAAATGTTCGTTTGCGGTTATTATACAAAGTTCCTGAATTCTTCGTTTGCGGTTATTATAAATTTCCTGAAGTTGCCAAAATTCCTCCATATTCTCCGGATCTAACTCATATCGAACATACGGAATGCGTTGAAGAAAGAATAGGAAACTTTAAATTTCCTCGAAAGCATTAGTAAAACAATTTCTTACAGAAAAATACTACAAAATAGAACATTCTTACATAAAACATCAGTTGAAACTGTCCCAAAGTGCATGAAATAGGTAGCCCTATTTGAAGAACATCTAACAAAATATTTAACTTACCGTTATTTTTTTGTTTTTATTAAATATAAACTATTTGTTTAAAGTATCCGAACACTTATGTAATCTCATTTTCAAAGCATTTTAAATAGATTTTTTAAACCAAAAAACGCTTTGAATAACATTTTCAAAAACAAGCAGGTTTTAAAAAATTTGAAAAATAGTACGCCTAGGGAAAAAAGTTATTTCACTAGCATTTATTAACTAATGTTTGCAAATAAAACTGGAAAAACATCTGAAACAAATGTGAGGTATGACAAATATATTATACCAAAAATAATAGTGTTACGAATTTGGTATTTAAAAAGCTAATGTTAGTTCAATTATAAATTAAATGGTTTTATTTCTCGCGCAGTGCAGCACGTGACGAATATTAAAAGAAAGCTAAACCGTAAAATTGAAAATACAAGAGTGCGTGCATTAAATAAATAAATATCTCTTTTTGATTTCGAGAAAGTACTGGAAAATTTTTAGCGCGTGATTTTAAAATCTTATAAAATGAGAAAAACATCTCAGTTTGTAGTAGTTGCTTAGTTTGTTGTTGTTTAGAAAACTGCTCTGCTCTTGTTGATTGTAGTGAATTCGCGGATTAGCGTTCTTTAGCTGTTTTGAATTACGTTCTATTGGACATTTGAGTAGTTAAAAGATAACTACTGTGAGATATTGTAATACTGCATGATAATTTGAGAAAACTTAAGCATTTTTGTCGTGATAATAATAAATTTTTGTTCATTTTTCATCGGACTTGTGCATTCATTTCATAACAAACCCGTACCCCGTACGCACGCAACAATATAAAGGAAATCGTAATGAAAATATATACTTAATTTATATTGCTACCGTTTTTAAAAGTCTCATTTATTATTTTAATAGTGTGATTGCGTTCATTTGTTTTCTACATTTAAAAATAAATTATTTTAAAAATAAATTATTTTTAATTTTGTGTTTTTTATAATTTTAATTTTAAATTAATTGATAAAGTATATTCGTAATTTTTAGGCAGATTTGCGAGGTTTAGTGTGAAAAGCAAAAAGGATGATTATTGTTTTCTTGTTATAAATAAATAGTATTTATGATAGATACGTAACAAAATACATAAATTCTGATCTTTAAAATTTTTCACTAAGACAAAATATATTCCCAATGAAAAGATGACGCATACCTTGATATGAATATATATATGATAATTTTTTAAACTGAAATTTTCCATTCATTAAAATGTATTTATTTATCTTTCCTTAAAAACTGATATTCTGTAAAGAACAAACATACCAATATTTTTGGTAAATGTTTTATTTTAATATTATTTGCAATACAGAAAAAAGTCAAGAATTGTGAAATAGGAAATATCATCCTCAGTCTCATCTGTATTCATTACAGTGGAGGTTCAGACATTCCCATAAATGTCATATTAATGTCATCATCATCAAATGCGTATCATACGAATTTACAATACACAAAATGCAAGGAACAAATTCCCGGGAGTCAAAAGAAAGTGTACCAGATTCTTAAGTAAATCAGTTCTATAAAAAAAAAACTAATTCAGAAGTCAAACAACAAAAATATGTTCTATAACTTAAGAAAAAGCACGAATTTGAAGTAAGTCTGTTAGAATTTTTCAAATTATTATTTCTAAGAACATTTATTATTTAACGACATTTTGAATTTTATAAGGTTTTGATAAGATAAACATGGATCCAAAAAAAATAATAATAATAAAAGATAAAAAAAGCCTACCTTTCTTGATTTCAGAAAGAAAAATAGACAACATATACTATAATGCGATAAATGAATGGTTGTAGTAGTGGTATCTCGTTCAAGAACTACAGTGTAAAACGATGATGAAATGATACTTATTTCCTGCAACCGAGTTATATTCCAATTTTATATTTAAATATCCGCTGTATTTATCAACTTCCTACTAATAGTCCTGAATGGTCTTGACAGATTACAGTCAATTATTTTAAATATCTGTTATCTTATAAGGTCCATAATAGGTTATCTTACAACATCCTTTTCACATGCAGTATAAGGTTCTTTTCACAAGGAAAGGGATTCATTTCGTTCTCTCTCTAAACGAAATGTAATTATTAACAATATACAAATGACACTTTGGTTAAGATTTTACCATGACAAGGATATTACGGGGTGTTTTAAATAAAAGTACACTCAAATCGACCAGAAAGCGTGATAATTTTATTTATGTTGGTATATCTAGAAACATGCTGTTTCTCATAGTAGCGTTTTATTAATTCTAAGGTTATAATTATATGCGATATCTTCTAGAAACACTATAAGAAATCTTCCTTATGAATATATGAGATTATAATCTGTGTCTGTATATGTGCTTTTGGAAATCGTATTTCTCTTAGATGTGTTTTTTTTTTATTTCTAAGAAAGTAACGCTGTAGGAAACTTTTACTGATGAATATGCTTTTCTTTTTTTTTTTTTTTTTTTTTTTTTTTTTTATGGCCCACCAGCGGCCGAGCGGTAAAGTCGCTGAACACTGGTAGTTCGGTCCGAGGTTCGAATCCCGCGAACGGGCTGGCTGCATGGGTGTTTTCGTGGTTTTCCCCATGTGTAACGTGTATACGAGCCAGTTTCCCTTAGAAAGTCCTCCACGAAAGGCATCCCTCCTCTTAGGCAGATAGCCCTAGTGTGCTTTGCCATAATTAAATACACCACACCTTTTTTTTATGCTTAGTAAATCCTTTTTTGTTGTTGTTGTTCTTGTTGTTCTTTGTTAATTCTAGTGTGTTAACACTGTTAAGAATCTTGTTAATGAATGTGACAAACCTTTTGTTTCTTGTAGTTGCGTTTTGTTAATATTAAGATAGTAACACTAAAAAATCCTGTTAATGAATTTTATTTAACAGAGTTTGAGACATCCTTTATCTTAAACTTGTGTTTTATTAATTCTAAGGTAATAATAACATTGTAGGAAACCTTTTAATGTATGCGATTTTTTTCCGGTGTGTGTGGTTGGGACACATTGCTTCCTAAGGTAATCTTATGAATGAGTGTTCCTTCTTTTTTCTTGATGTTCCATTTGCTAATTTCAAGCTAGTAACATTGCAAAAAATCTTGTTCGTGAATTTGATTTCTGCTTTGGGGATACCCTGCTTCTTGTAGTTGTGTTTTATAAATTTTGAAGTAGTAACACTCAAAAATCTTGTTAATCAATATATTTATTTTGTTTGTTTTGAATATCCTGTTTCTCCTAGTGCTGATTTATTATTTCCAAGGTAGTAACACTTTAGGTAACCTTATTAAAAGGGATTTTTAACATATGACAATTAAGATACAATAACACGCCGAACAAGTATTAATTTAGAAGTCAAGCAGCAAACATCAGCGTTATGTTTTCAAAAATTGGAAACATAACACTGATTTTTGTTGTTTGACTACTAAATTAATACATGACAATTAGTAAGGCAGATGGAGAAATACATGAAGAATGTGTTAACATTGGAGCAAAGAGCCTTTGCGGTAGCATCGAATGCACGGTCCATTTTTTTTAAATTTATCAAGACAAATTTCAAGCTAAATTTCAAGTTACACCATAAATCAAAGGCACAAACCGTTTTAAAAGCGGCGCCAGACTATGTTTAAACGAACTAACCCACCCTGTAAACAGCAGGAGGTCAGCTCCCAACATCTCCTGAAATGAGATCGCACTTACACGTACTGCAATGCAGTATGTTAAAAGTACACTTATAAAAGCAGTGTTGCACTAAAATTTGATTTGGGAAACCTTAACTTCGGACATTCTTTATTTTTTCTCAAGAAAATTCGGGGCCATCTCGCGAGGTTATAAGGTATTTTTTCCTGCTTTCCGCATGCATTCGTGGTGTAATTGGAAGCATACTCGAGGCGTATTCGAGAGGTACAGGGTCCGAGTCCCGGCGAAGGCACAGCACATTTTTCACGTCTCCTGCTTCAAAAGAACCTAATGAATCTAACAGTGGCGCCCGAACTAAAAGGTGGTGGACGATTATTCGTAATCACCAGGATTTGGCGTTTCGGGTTCCTTAATCCCCAGTTGCCATTTAAAAGGGGGAGCATATAAGGTATTTTCTCTCCCCTTTCCACATGCCTTTTTGGTGTAATTGGAAGCATACTCGACGCGCATTGGAAAGGTGAAGGGTTAGAGTCCCAGCGATGGCACTACACACATTTTACATCTCCCGCTTTAAAAAAAAAAAAAAAAAAAAAAAAAAAAAAAAAAAAAAAAACCTAATGACTCTACAAGGTAAACTGTGCTATTTCGAGACTTTTAAGAGGACACTAATTATTTTGCGAAATCACGCTAAACAATTGGGCATTTTGATAATAGTAGTTTCAAATAAAGTTTTCATTTAACGATTCGCGTTCACATTAAAAAAAATAACTCTACATACAGAGTAAAATTATAAATAACTACAACACGTATAATGCGGTTAATGAATGTTTGTACCATACTAAAATGCATTAAATACGTTACATAACATAATTAATAAATATGCAATTATGCTACATAAAATTAATTACATGTAACATAACTAAATAGAGAGCTATATCAGGGTATACCTATATAACTGAGCTATATCAGGCATCGGCATTCTTTTCTGGCTGCGGGTCACGATCACCAAAGTGTGTGTATAAAGAAGACGTTTCAGGTCAGAGGTATTTTAATTTTAGAACAGTCTTTCTTGGTGAATAATAAAATAAATTTTATTGAGAAAATAATTACAGTACGTTTTTAAATATACAAATTATAATTACAATTAAAACAAAAATAATTGAATTAACTTTATTTTTCTCTTCGATATCAATGGCTACCCTGATGTTGAACTTATGATGTCATTTTAGTTAAGTCTGGCTTGTAGTTAGATGTCTTAAGACGAATACAAGCATCTGAAATTTCATTATTATGCGAGCAAAATAGCGAAGCCAATTTTTATAATTACGAATTATGGATCGGCGTTGCCAAACTTACGCATTTATCCTTGAAATTATGTTACAGTTAAAAAAAATTAAAATGCATGCTTGTAACTGCAACTTCATAATCAAACAAAAATGTTATTGGTATTACTTATTTTCGATTTATTTTTTTATGTAATGTTTAACAGCTCGTTTCACATTTATGTTTTATAATTTATTTTTATACATTGTACTTTATTCTCGGAATTCAAGTGGGTCACTTGAAATTATGAAATTTGTCACTCAGTGACACGAGAGGCATAGGTTACCAAAGCATGAACTAGAATTTATTATTAAATTAACATACTTACGTTTATAAACCAATGGAATTTAATAATTCTAAGCCGTCGCCGACTAAGATCATGCTTTCTGCTTAAGTGGATGTTGTTTAAATGCAGTAAAATACACATGCCTTCATTTTCTTCTTTATTGTGATGTCCGTTGACTTGAAACCTGTAACATATATTTAAAGTTAGAAAAGACACGGCACATTGGCCTGCATTGAAAGCATATAAATGTAGGTTTTACTTTCAAAACACGCACATAGAGCCCGGATATTGCATTTTAAATGTTTTTATTTTACTAGTAAGAAATAGATAAAAGTAAACAAAGGTAAGTTAAGTAATAATTGATATTGCAAGGAATGTCCTGATCAGTCCACAGGATTCATGTAATGGCGAGCAATTCACACACACTATTAGTTCCACCCGGCGTTGATAGAATACGTTATCCTTTTTAACATCCACAGCTAGCTTTAAATAATATGATCGGCTTGGCTTAAACCAAAAAGGCACTTAAACACCAAAGAAGACAGTCTATCTTCTCCAACTCTTGAGAGCAAGCAAGCCATCCGCTCGCATCTACTACTCTCCACTGTCGTCCACGTCTGGACGCTATATGGCCTTGTCTTAACTGCTCCGCACTGCGCTAAGCTGGGATGACGTCACCACGCTGGTATTCTAATTCAGTATCAGTCGTCGATGATCTCCACATAAATGTGAAAACATTGTACAACAGTGATAACATCGCCAGATAACATAAATTAGACATTAAGAAATTCATGACCATTGGAGAAAGTATTAATTTCGTTTTTTATTTGACATTTGCGAAAAACCACATAAATTCAAGTTTTTGTTCTATCTGTATCCATTATTAACATCTCCGAATCTCACAATGGCGGAGAAACACGCTAAGTAAAATTTGAAATGAAACAAAAATGAAATCTTAATTTTGCAATAATTTTGAATGAAACTCGATCGATCAGACACAAATCTCTCTTTCTCAGGAGCAAAAATGGGAGACTTGACAAGCATTTTATATTGGAAACAATGGACTGAGTACAGCGAAAACGAACTCTCGAGGAAAATACTAATGAAGCATGAAAAATTACAATATTAGAATTCTGAAAGGCTTAGGAAGAAATAGATTGGAATTAATGTCATTAATTAAAGTAAATACATTTTTATGAAGCTTTAAAGAAATCCAATTCAGCAAATGAAGAAGCTTTAGGGATGATTTTCACAGAACCAAAATCAAATTTGTGATTACGTGCCCATCTATGATTAGCTATTGAAGATTTATTTATATCTCCTTTTCGAACATCATATTCATGTTCCTTGATGCGGTATTTTAGCGCTCTTTTAGTTTTTCTGATCCACGTCAAATCATATTTAGAAAATATTCTATAAACTCCACAAGAAATGAAACAACCTCGCTTTTGAAGAGGACAGATTGGTACAAAGTGGCCAATTTTTATAAAACAAAAAGCAGTTCCTTCATTACAGTAGTAGAATATATATGATAGTGTGATCGCCCCACAAAATCTAGGATAGGAAGAAATGTGCAAGTGATTCAGAAAATGTTCATTCAAAGTCCTCAGAAATCACGAAGACAGGCATTTCGCGAAAGTGTTAATTTGACCCAACACAGAGATATTAAATAAAGTATCTTTTATTTCTATAAATATATTTGCAACCATATTATAACAAAATGGAAATATAAACATACATATAGGATCATTTTGGAAATACATATATAAATATGAAATCATTTGACGCTGCTTATTTATCGTTCGCAGAATTGAACTTAAGCGTTTTTAAATGTGAACTTTAAAACGTTTGACCATTTTTCTCCTGAAGAAACAAAAGCACGTACCAAAAACCGTGCCACATTTTTGCCATACTGTTTTATTTATTAGGTGTTAACATGTAACAGCGTGAAATAATCATTTAAAACACACAAGATTTATTCATTTCACAGAAATTATTGATGATTAGATGCATAAAGCAAGAATGTGAAATATCATAGTCTGCATCTATCATTTTTGTAATCCAACAGTTATCATTAAACAAGTATAATCTATGAACGCAATAACTTACATGAAGGGTTAGATACACAAAGTATGTATGACGACCAAATATCCACGCCCTCTTTCAAAATCTCATCGCGATAGTTGTTGCCATCAGCACATATCCCTCGCAAAGCCACCGAATATTCACCCCAACAATCCACATAAGTGTCATTTTTCAAAGTAATCAATGAGATGATATCGGTTTATAGATGACCTACATTCCAGTGGACTTCGGGAATCAAGTTTTCAGTCTTCTTCAGGTAAAGCAATCCAGGGGCTTATCGCTAAGTCCACTTGCAGTATTTATAATATCAAACGAAAGTTATATTCCTCTAGGAAGCCATTAGGATAAAACAACAACATTGTTGAATGCAGTACGTTTATGAAACGCAATAAAACGTCATACCCGAAACCAATTCATTCAGTGTACACAAACAGGTTCAAAATAATTTGTAATACACCCACAGCTATGCGTAGGTATGTTTCACCTGATGCAAAGAAGATGATATGTCCTAGTACGCAGCCATATTAACAACATTTAAACACTTTTATGACCATCACAGGTCTAAACATTTTAAGTCTTAATTCTTACATTAGTATTCGTATATTAATATACAATAATTGTACATTCATGCATTCAGAAAACAATTAGCCAACAATGGTTTAAAATTATAAAAAATAACAATGCAGCTAATGTAAAAAAACATTGAAATAATTTTGAAGCCATTTTTTTAACTAATTTTCTGCTAATTTAATTTTACTGCTTTTGTTAACAAGCAAATTTATCAATATATTTATTTTTCAAAATCTACTTGATTACTGTATTCGTGCTCTATAGAAAGAAAAGCCATGTTTAAAATGTTTTTTTGACCTAATGAAAAAAAAATCTTACATAATATTTTAATTATTTTAAGTTTTCCGAAGCATCTCTCTCTAATAGAATAGTAAACACGTGATGCATTTCTACTTCTTTGTACGAAGTAAAAAGGAAGTATTGTAATCGTGAAAAGTTCGGGCAGCATATTTCAACGAAAATATCTATTTTCACCGCTATCGAATGCAATTTAACAATGTTTTTGCGTGACACCTGTATGTAAGGACAGAACAAAAGACTCTATTTCTCAAAAAAAATTATAAAACTGCTTTACTCTTATATGTTTGTAAATTGTGCATTTTTGCTTTAAAAATTATTGAATTATGTTGTTCTTATCTTCCGGTTAAGGCTTTTATGCCTTTAGGAAATCTGCAAGCAATATTTGTAGAATTATCAACAATTTATGAGCTCTTTAAGTGCGATTAGGCCTAATTTTTAAATAATATGGCGGACATGTTTGTTTACGTTTGAAACAAGAGAATAGTAGATTTGATGCCAATCTAGAGACACTAAGCTTCGCAACAGCAAAGATAAAGCCTTCATTTATTATTGCGAATTAAATCATGCTTAATCTTTCCTGGAATTTTTCGAGGAAATAAGTGTTTAAGATTTACTTCATAATTTTTAATATAGATATTTTGAGTTTTTATGTATTTTTGCCTTATCGTGATGTGAGAACTGAATTTATTGAACGAGAAATACTGAATCCTCTGTTAAAAACTGTTTATTTTTTGTTACGTTTGTTTAATTTCTTTTATACATCGTTCTAGATTTATTATAGTATTTGAATAGAACATGTGGCAACAATTAGATAATTCTTCAAATAATATACATTTTGTGCATTCAGAGTTATAATATGAACGAAATAACGCTATTAAGTGAACCTAGCGCCAGAGTGTCGTATGGTAAACAAGTATAATGAAATTTAAAGAGTGCATTTATTCTATTGTGGTTTATGCACTATCGACGAAGTAGATTTAATTCAGTCCAATAAGTTTAATGAAATGCAACAAAAATGCAATTCCGCGGACGGGCTGGCTGCATGGGTGTTTTCGTGGTTTTCCCCATGTGTAACGTGTATACGAGCCAGTTTCCCTTAGAAAGTCCTCCACGAAGGCATTCCTCCCCTTAGGCAGATAGCCCTAGTGTGCGTTGCCATAATTAAATACACACACACACACACACACACACACACACGCAACAAAAATGCGTATAATTTAATATTCCGTACAAGGAAGTCATGTAGTGTACACATCAGATTTTTAATTTTGCATTCAGGAAACTGCGATATTTTCCGATATTTAATACCTTTCTAGATACATTTTTATAAGATAATTCATCTCTGCCAAAAATATTTAACAAAGGACTCTATTTCCCCAAACGAATTATAAAACTGATTTGAAATGGATTCAAAAGAGATTTTTTTCATGGCGTCTGTACGTATGTACCTATGTACGTATCTCGCATAACTCAAAAACGAGTAGCCTCAGAACGTTGAAATTTTGTATATAGGACTGCTATAACATTCAGATATGCAACTCCCTTTTTGGTTGCAATCGGCCGCACCAAAAGTATATATATATTCCCAGTCTCTTATTCGGCTCAGTTAGCTCAGTTATTTTTTATTCTTATATGTTGGTAAATTGCGCATTTTTTGCTTTAAAAGTGATTGAATTATGCTGCTCCGGTTAAGGTTTTTATGCGTTTAGTAAATCTGCATGCAATATTTGAAGAATTATTTGGTAGCTCGTCAAACAAAAATTGCAACATAACCTCATTAGTATATAATTAGCACTTTCGCGACAAAGAGCATAAATAGCTAGTTTGCCATATTTTTTGCAATTTACGGGAAAATGGTAAATAGATTTACAGATGTTACAATTCTTATACGGATGACGCATTTTCGAGATTTGTCACAGAAGTTGAGACCTAGTAGTAAGGCTCTATCTAAAACTACTGGAAATAAGCTATTCGAAAAGTAAAACATTTTAACACAATGAGGTTTACGGCCCTATTAAGGTGTACCAGAAACCACTTACCAGTCACACATAATAAAAGTCGCATTATAAAACACGAACTTAATATAATTGTGAACAACTGTAATCCAACTATGTAAGACTAAATCTAATTAACTATTAAACTACACTCTGTTTTTTGTGCCTATGACGATTTTTCTTCTTGGCACTAAACCAAAAATTTAGACCACCAAGAATACACACAAGAGACAAGACTTAAACATAGCGTTTATTAAAACTTTACGACGCAAAGTAACAAAGTCTGTGAAGACTTGCATCTTGAAATATATCTAAGAAATTAAGGCGATATATATGAAAGAAAAAGCATCTAAGGATAAAGTACCAGGGGAATTTTTGTATTATAAACAAGAAAATATCTCTTTTTCATATAGTTCTGAGGAACCTGTAGTTTCCAAGAGAAACCCTTGGTCAAAAAAATAAAGCATTCTGATTTAAATGGCGAACAGATTCACATACTGTTCCCTCCAATAAGATATCCGAAGCAAATTCAGTTGTTATTTTTAATCTGATATTGCTAAAATTTTAATTTAATTTTAAATCTGTCATACTTCAAAACATCATCTTAATTATGTATGATCTTTTACGTATACGACGTGGCCAGGGTTCTTATGATCCTACGTGGTTCTCCGGACAAATATGTCGGTATTTAATATACTTAAATACAAATAGTTAACATATCTCAGTTTTCATAATTATTCAAATAAAAAAGCATTCTATCCATGGACTGATTTATACATTGGCAAATGGGATAGCTCTTTCAAAATTTTTCTTAATATTTAAAATACGTAAGATTTTCTATGTTCTTTCAGTTCTAGATTTTATAAGCATAAGATTAAAAAACCAGAAGAAAATTTAATTTTTTCTCGCCAGATAATAGACAATATAGCATATCCTCGCTCTCTCCTTTTAATGACTGATATCATTGAGCGAAATTTCGATTTGTGAACAATGGCTAACATGCGCAGGCAATTTCTGCTATTGTGTGACTATCACAATTGGAGCTCGTGAGTATTTTGCTTATCGTAGACATAGTTATGTGCTTAGTTATTAAGCAGCTAAATTTAATTACATTATTTTCATCTTAGTTCTTTAATTTAATTACCGTATTATTTCGAAGATTTTTAAAGCTGAAAAACTAGGAACTTATAAAAAAATTATTTTACAATAGTTATTGAAAAATAAGAAACATTTTACTTTTTTATACAGATGCTGAAGTAAATAATTTATTGCAATACAAGATGTAAATATATTTATTTGCTTTGAATACTAAGTTGCACGCTAATTTTGCTGCTTAAACATCTGAATAAAAACTGCTTCTTAAATTCGAATCAGTACCATAATTAAGTTTTGCAATTAAATCAGTAAAAGCTCCTTAGGATCATCTCTTCATCTCAGTTTTCATTGGGAAAAAAAGCTAGTTTAAAATGCATAAACTCACATTTTACACAATGTATAACAAACTGAAATTTTTTTTTAAATTCCATGGGCATTAATTTTTCGTTTCAGATTTTAAGTTACATATAGTACTCACTTTTCGTTAATTTTCTGGTTATACAACGTAGACATAGTCACTGGGACTCATGATCACACGTAATTTGCCGGAAAACTGCTTATATTTAATACACATGCTGATCGTAATTAAACTTGGCCTATTCAGAGCACTATGTCGCTGTAGCTAAAAATGCCAATTGACTGGAAAATTTGTAGAGTTACAATTGAAAGAATACGCTAAAAGTTTCCGGGAAAAAGTTTAAAATATTTCCTTTAGGGGCCGCATTATAGACAAAATACTTGAACATATATGCAATAAATAACTGTGGGCAACAACTGTGGGCTATGTTTAACATTTTTGAGATCGAAAGAGTAGCATTCTTTCGATTACGATGACTATTAGTTTGTCAGAACGTGCCTTAATCGTGAAACTGCTTTACGAAAACTAGGTAAATGCTGTAACAGCTCTTTGTGAATTTCGAAGTCGAAAGAAATTGCGTCGAGGATCAGTGTCTCCAAAAGGTGTGACAGACATGATATCTCGATTTGCAAAAACTGAATCGTCATGTCATCTGTTTGTTACCGACATTGACCGCCGCTTATTTTCTTTTGCCATGACTTTACTTGCTCGACTAGAAGTCGATGAAGCCTGGCCGTGGAACTGGAACCGTGACTACTTGGAATGGTCGCATTTGGGCCACGGAATGTCCAAGTGCATTTTGCGCAACTCCACTACACTTCGTCTAAAGTTATCCTACGATGTAAATATACTTCCCGATGTATCTTTG